GCCTTTGCCAAGCTTTACTTCAGCAGGTCGATACAGCCAATTAACACCTAAGTTTAATTTATGCTCTTTATCAACAGTAACACAGCGAATTATTCCTATAAAAGGTGGAGAATCCTGGGGCGGTTTGAAAAGAGCACAATCACCAACACTGATCTTACGTCCATCCTAATCATAGAAAAGAGGCAAAGTCAGTAAATTACTAAATTAAATGGGAGGTCTTTTAATTTTAAAAACAAAAGAAATTGAAAAAATACTGAAACACATTGTCCAGTGAACAAAAAGGGTTTAAGTAGAGACTATATTAACTAGCCATTTCTTTGACAACACCATCCATGATAAGTAAAAGACACAAATTTACAAATTAAACTTTAAACCATAACCAATTCTTGGACAGACTAAATGGCAAAATCATAGTAAATAAAACAAATACAGCAACAGAACAATAAAACAATTATATGACTATTACACCAATCAACCATTCAAAGCTGGTTATTTAATAAAATCACATTTTTAAAATAAGATGATTTCCACTACCCATCAGAAGAAAGGGAGAAAAAAAAAAAAAAAGATTTCTGGTAGATGCTTCATATAAAGAATGTCCCTTAAAGTTCCATTTCACCAATTAGCTTCTCCCTACACCAAGAGAGCCCATTTAAACTCAATGCATGTGAAGTGAAGGAAAGAAGGAAAAACAAAAGCAATCCATGGTACAAGCATGCAAAAAACTAGTTATGCAGAATATCAAACACAAAAGCAAATCTATGCAAAAATTAGTTATGCAGAATATCAACCAACTTAGTGAGGGACGTAATCACAGTAGCTTGTCAGAATCAGAAATCAACATTTCCAATTACATAGCCCTCTATTACAGCAAACACACCTTGCAAACTGCACTCACATTAACTAATGTCTCACGTTGTAGAAATAGAAAACTAGCTCTAGTTGGAAATAACACCAGGCTGATAACTTAATTACAAATGACTTTCCAAAGAAATGAACAGAAAAAGTCAGTGCTCTTCTTTCGTTGTCAATGAAAGCACATCTTACTCCTGCAAAAGGCCACAGATCTTCTTTAACATGGCACTTCCTGTCAAACAATTAAACAGAAAATGTTTCCACTACATTTCAAACCCTTTCAAATTTGTCAAATTTTCTAATGTTCTGAACAAAAGAAGCCCCAGTCCCACTCCACCATCCCACTCTCCTGACAAGAGGCTGATCCCCAATAATCTGTATATAACTATTCTACCTCCAAATAACTCTTGACTGATGTTTTCTTTACTGATTGCAAAAAAGGAAATCAATAACTTTCCAAAGAAATTAACAAGTACCAGTCCCTCATGGTAAAATCTACTAACAAGATAATTCTACCAATCCAGCTTCAAGCTTCAGGCATATCAAATACAAAGTAACTGACATTTCATCACTCAACTAATTTCCAGAAGAGGAGAAGAGAGAGATGGGAATCCTACAACCACTTTAAACAAAAGAAGTTCCATCACAAGCCTTGAGAAAATTTTGGTCAAATTTCCTAACAGAATTTATGATAATGTAAATAACAGTTTCCCACACTAAGAACAATGCATCAACCAGACTAATCCCGCCAACAGACTTGGTCCATATATTTTTCATTAACACAGCACCAAAAGCAGGATAGATGGAGCTTAAGATGACGACTCTGTATAAAATTCACTATTTAATGTCAGACAAGCCAACATAGAAATCACGTCCATTGGCTCAATTCCTCTGTCAGTCAGGCCACCACTACACATATATGCCCAGAAGATCAGCATTCAGGTGCCAATCTAGCACAAAATTAATCCAAACCTCCAACCTGGCAAAACAAAGAAAGAAAAGGAACACAAAAATACACAAACACACAAAAAAAGGAGAAAGGATACACAATTTATTCCGATAATAAAACGAAAGCAAATCAGAATCAGAATCATAAGCTTTACCTTGCAAAAGTAATTAACCGTAGATGAAGAAGGGGAAGAAGGAGAGCCACCACCATCACCACTCACAACCACCGTTGCACGCGAAGGGAGTGTCCACATGTGCCGAGCCCGTTTCCTCTCCTCACCTCCTGCCCGCCCATGCATAGCCTTGCATTTTCCCCTTCGAGTACCATCAATCCCACCTCCTTATTCCTCTACCCCAATTCTTCCAATTCCCCTGTCACCAATTCGAAACCTAGATCCACCCCAAAACCCTACGACTCACCATACCCAATCACAACAAACCCTAATTTCCCCAATCACGAATACAATTTCCCAAACCCTAATTCCCTCGATCGCAATACCCAAACCCCGATTCACCAATCTAATTCAACCTCAGATCCGTCCACAGCATCGAATTCCAGCCAGCTTCGATCTATCCAGAGATTAATCAGCGACTGAGAAATAGAAAATCTTGGAATTCTAGAAAGAGAAAATCGGGGAAAGAGAAAAACTGAGAGCCGAAGAGAGAGAAAGGAAGACAGAGAGAGACGGCAATAGGAAAGGCGTACTTGGGTACATTGGTAGGGCAGAGTGGGCATGGAATAGGCAGATCGGGTAATTCGGGCAGCGCCTGAGTGAGTTTAAATAACGTAACTGTCTGTGACGCAGCAATATGACGTGTGATACCGTGATCCGTGCGGTATGATTCTGAAATCGAGACTGAACACTAGGGACTAGAAGAATAGTTGCAAGTCTTGACTGATTTATATATATATATAT